GCCCCCCTCTGTGCCCCTGCGATAAGGTGTAATGAGAAATGTTTTCGAAATGGCTCTCACCTACCATGCGACGCTAATTGAGCATGTGCTTGATACAGCCAAAAAGGAGAGCGCTCGTCTCTGACCGCTGACGTCGCTGAGGAGAAGAAAATGAGAAAAGGAGCATTTAGTTTTCCCCAGTTTCCCCAGCCATGAGGCGACTGAATAAAACAAAACTGATGCATATGTTTGCATTAACTGAACCGAACAACCCTTCCCCCTCAAAGACACAAAGCAATGAGAGTACGTACCATCTTCATTAGTTGTCATTTACAGGGAATTACGGAGATGCCTCCTCAGGGCTGTATCAGGGAGGAAGAGAAGGAACTTTGGGAATATTTGAAAACAGAAATGTTTGGCCTATATTCATTTAGCATCAGAGGGAAGGCGCTACACATAAAAAAAAAACAACATAACATAAAATACAAAAAAGATTCAACAGCAAACTGAGCAGAACAGAAACTAAAAGATGAAAAAAGCTAGTGTCACGACACATTTCGTTTAGGTTCCTTTCTCTGTCATATGTCAACACGTTCATCCACCCACATCCAGTCTGGGCCTCCCTCTCTCAAACTGGGATGTGTGAGGATTGCGTCCGTGGTGGTAGAGCGGGAGACCGCTTGGTGAGACTAAAACTGTGTGGATTACCAATCCACTGCCACAGCGTCACCTCCCTAACAGGATAACACCGCATAATAAACTCCATAAAATAATCAAACTTATTACAACTCTTAACCCCTGTTTAATACAGTCAGCTCAGCTTACGTGTGTTGGTATTCACCACTAGTCGAGCCACAAAAGAGAATAGTCTTATAAGACCAGAGAACACAGGACAGCATATTGTGATGCCTTAATATTGGCTTTAATTGGATTTGTAAATTATGTGGCTAAATTAGCACTTTTTGCTGCTTGGGGATTTAGTGAAATGTGTAGCAGGAAAGGAAAAAAAAGGGGAAAGTCTTAAAGTTAATTAATCATCTGTGGCTCCAGATTAATTAAAGTTTCCCAGTGTTTGTAGTTAATGGGGAGATTGATGGAACAATGGCTTGAACGCCCCCTGCCTCCTCGAGAGCAGAGAGCTGAGTCCACAGAGACGTACTTCAGAGCCTTTGATTATCACACATCCTCCACACACACATATGTACACATGCATGAAAACACACACACACACACACACACACACACACACACACACACACACACACATATATATATATATGTAAATACACAGAGACCGGAGAGTCCCCTTCAAACTTCCTAGTCACAGATATCATTACTCCCATTGAGGGATTCACATTAATTAGCTGGGATCAAAACCTACAAATCCCCCCACTGAGAATTCCTCTGTTCGCCTAAACTATACCTCCATCATTTATGCCACATCCCCTGACACACAACCACATACAGAATACAGCCAGATATCCCTGTTAGTGGGCCAGGGGTAAAAACAAGCTGTTGGGCACCCTTTCGCTGTCCCTATCCTTCCTTGTTCAGCTGTTTTAAACTTATTCAAATCCATTACAAGTTTAACCTGTACCATACACATTACCAGCAAACAGCTTTCTCCACCTAATAGCCAGCTCAGTACGCATTTAATGTATTCAAAGGTTGTAGTTGAGCAAAAATAAGGGACAGTAGACTTAACTATGGAGAGAAAAGCATTATGGGAATTCTGCAGAGGCTTAGGAGGATGCATGTGAGTGCATTCTAGGAAGCCATCAGTGCACTGCCCAGTGATAACGATGCTATGTTTAGGATACTTGCTGGTTGAAAAGTTAGCTACATGAAAGGATCTGCAAGCTATATGTATGCATACTGACAGACTGTATGTTTGTGTATCTTTTATATAAAATCTGTAGCTGTTTCACATATTTTTGATAGTGCCCCCAAAGTGGTACTAGACAGCTAGATAACATATTAGCACCTACATGCAGAACATACATACTACCATGCAGTAGTATGCTGGGACCTTCACAGTGATCAGGTCACAAATTCAGGTCCCAACTTTCCAATATGAAATATTTTGCTTACTATTTGTTAAGCACTAAGTTATGGTTAATCAAAAAAAATTAAAAAAATGAAAGGATAAATAAATCTTGGCTACATTCATAGGATCATGTTTGGTTTAAAAGGCGCCGTTTGACAACTTGAAGCACATGTTATGTAGCTCCTTTTTACAGCTTACCACATTTACCAGTCATAGTGCAAAAGATAGATGCAGCTCCTGTGATGTCACCCATTGGTTTGTGAAGTTCTGGTCTCAGACGAGAGTTGAGCATTTTCACCATCACCATCTTGATGTTTTTGAAGCCATATATGATAGTGGCGGGTCAGAGGGCAGTTTCTATATGCGTTACAGTCTTTTTGCAACCACGTGTATCGCCCCCTGGTGGTTGCAAAAAAGAATCCAGGTTACAGGTTCTTATGCACAGATCACTTTTCAGACCCAAAGGTAACGTCCATCGTTTAATGATTTTATATGCTTTTTGTCACATGACCACCAGAGGTCTTACACATAGTTTGGCTTGTTTTCTTTTCATCGGTGGTTACTGTTTGGATAAAAACTTCCAAATGAGGCTGTAGAGTGGATTACTTACTGGTTATACAGTAATAGCAGCAACCAGCCTGCTGAATGGGTCATCTGATGTGTCTTAGGCTGGGATGTCATCTAGATGCCAGATCCCTCAAGCACATCTCTTACTTTGACTATTTTTTATGTCATTACAGTGCATCTGGTGCAAGCATCGAACATTAAATGCATCACATTGATGTTCTAAAGTGAACTGCACTCAAACCAATGGACAAAGAGAACTGGTAGTGAATTTTCTCTTTCTGCAAAGTTGGCGTTTTTGAGTGTACGGAAATTTTCTTCTAAAAAATGTGCCTATGATTAAAATTAAGAACATATTGCCGCTCATGAGATGAAAATTGTAGTGCATGCACCCAAATTAAAACTGTGCATACCGTCACTCGAGTTTTAGCAGTCTTTGGGTTTTCTCTTTTCCTGCTTTGAAAGACTTTAAATGTAGCGTGTCGGCACGACACCCGTGAAAAACGCTTATTCAAAAGCAGAAAGCCTCCTCCTCATGGTTGAAGTGACATAATTTCTGTACAAACTCCTGAATAACACCACTCCACGCAGGGCTTCGGGAGCCTTTCACCAGGCACCCTGAATTCTTTGCAAAGTCTTTTATATTTCTGCTTGAAATCAAGCCGCCTGTAATTTTGCCGGCATTTGCAGCTCGTTATCACATTTGCGCGGTGATGTACCGTACTCGACTGCCAAAAGTGCTCATAAAACAGATGATTATTTAAAACAGGTGATGCAACTCAAAGCAACCCTGCTCATGGTGTGGAAACCTCGGAGCTGGTAGAGGGCGCCCTCTGCTGGAGCCTTCTTGTTTCCCTTGTTAAACAGAAAGGACAGCACGGCAAACTTTGAACTGGTTTATTGACATGTGTATAGCGATTGTCTGTGCACCGGACGATTACAGAAGAATATGTTATAAAATAATACAAAATAGCTGTACACAACACAGATTATAGTTAAAGGAATGCATTGTTAACTGTGAGGTTTTATGCTGTATTATACATATCAGCTACTCACTCGCCTATGATGAGACGAGCTCATAAGTTGAGGAAGTTGAGGTTTGGCCATCTGGTTATGAAGGTCAATTAATAGATATGATAACAAACGAAGTTAGGGAAGAGCTGATGATGTTACTGGTGGTATCAAACAACCTGATGCTGAGCTAAAATACTTAGTCTCTAATTTTTTAACTAATACTAAAATCTAAAACTCAAAAAAAGTTACATATGGATGTCCATAACCCAAAGTGAGTCATAGAATAAAACAAAAAGAAAACTCAAACAAATATTGTACGTTAGCTCATAAACTAGAACCCAGTGGGGGTGCTGCAACTGTTCTCCATCCACATGCCAATGGTGTTACATGTTGTACTGTATATATGCATATCTCTCTCTCTATATATATTTTGTCAAAAGCAAGATTCACTGGATTTGGTGTGATTTGCGAAGGCCAGCTAATACACATGATTTCATTGCCTGTTTCATGAGACCCGTAAGTGGTTGACCTGTGGTGATCTACCCGACTGTTTGCCCTCTAGAATTTGGACATAAGATGTGGCTGCTCTCACATCGAACGCCTTAATCTGGAACTTTTTTTCACTCAAAGTGCCTTTTATCAGGCATCTTTCAGCTGTGACTCTAAAATCCTTAATCCTGAGCAACAGTAACACAACCCTCATCCACCACACTACAAATCTTATATTTAGACTTTAAAGGAGACCTATTATGCCTTTCCTCTTGTTCTGTCATACACATGCTTATACAAAAGTGGATGTTGATATTAATAATGGTCGACCTTTCAAATAACGAGGTAAAGCTTCAAACGACCCAAAAGGCTCTGTTTTCTTCTACATCTGCGCCCATATGATTACGGTCATCTCAGGAATTCAGCTCTAACAATGAGACCAGGAGCCCCACCCACCCTCTGTTTAAACAGTCTTTGAGTGAGGGGCAGCCAATCAGAATAAAGTTAAAAGCGTGGGCGGGGAGCCAAAATGGCTTTTATTCACACAATAAATGAACTGAGTGGGCTGTCAAGGTAAATAAGGATTATTCTGAAATGTGAACCATGCAAAGCTACTGAAGAAGCATAAGAGGTCCCCTTCAAATGGAAAACATGCTGTCTTTCATTAGCTTTAAATGCTCCATGACGGGTCCAAATACAAAATGTAAACAAGTATCGATGTGAATGTCTTTCTGTGATGAATTGGTTTGGTGGAAAATATTAGCATAGTAGTACAAAGTGGGATTCAAGAGGTCTCATTCACAAAGATCGTGGATCTATCAAGTATGAGGATCTATTTAGGCGCTCGTTCTTTTTTCCTCTTGCTTTAAAGCCCACCTCCCCCAAAAAACAACAAAAACAAAACAGAAATGCTGCAGTTTTTAACCAACGAAGGACTCGGAAGACAGCTCAAACGTTCTCAGCATGAATTGCAAGTTGGCGCTCCACCGTGCAAAGTTTTCGAGTACGTGTACGTGTAGTGTACATACTGTATGTGTACGTTCAGCACATGCAAGCTAGACACAATTTTTTCACGTGAGTGTATTTCTTTCTTTTTTTTCTGTTTTTTAAATCAGTTATTCTTTCATACTTGAGGCTATTATTGAATTTACTTGTTGAGCTAGTTCACCAAGCTACACCTAATATTCAGTTACAAAAATAGTATCACAATATAGACCATTCAATATGAGCACCAGGGAAGGCTAAATATAGCCCAAAGTATTTTGGCTACATTCATTGTCTGGGCAATGTTTTACGGTAGCAGAGTGTGTGTGAAAGTGTGTGTGTTCGTTAGACACAGTGTTGGCAATGTTTTCTCACTCACAAGCTCCCCTACATCTACCGCACGATTATATCTCGTAACATACACAACTTGCGTACGTACACTGAGTAACAACAGTTAACTAAAACCAATTGTCAGATAGAAAAATAGTTGCTGTATAATTTTTTTAAACACTGAACATCTAAAAGAATTCCTCCCACTTCCCCAAATAAAACCCTCCCCGTTTCCTAACAAAATAGTTTTCTTTGAAACAATAACCCAAAAAAAATGTTTTGAGGTTACACAAGGTCAAGCCTACTGACACTCCATCACACTACCATACACCCTGTTTAACATAATTCAGAAACCAGAAGTGTGTTCAAATTAACAAAGAACAAGCTGGATAGTTTTGCAGCATTACCAGCACAGTAAAGAAATGATAGAATTAGTAATTAAATATGGATCAGGCATTAAGTCTTTCAAATCTGCAGCTTGTGGTATCACTCATATTCTCTGGTCTATGACCCCCAATTTGGAAATAAGTCACGGGATTGAACACGCCTCTGGTTGAGCCCTTTACCTGGAAACCATTTCAGCCACATTTGAATTGGACTGCTGACCTAACACTTGGCTAAACATAGCATAACATCTAGCTTATCTATGGGAGTGCTATTATTGCTTCAGAGTTGGGAAGTGGAGTTCATACCCGGTTTTCATTCCAAGCCTTTGTTTATCCTTACCCTGCTTCATAATTAGGAAAAGATCTGCTGTAAAAGTACTGCAGTGTTCCCTCTGGCCCTTCGGAGCTAATCAAACAATCTGCAGGTTACTGTCCAAAGAATTACAACACATAGGGGTCTGTCATTAATGGGCAGTCTGTGCATAGATCTTACTCTACAGTGATATGTAAAGGACTCCAACAACATATGCTTCTAATTCCTTAACTTCAGAAATAGTTGTGAAGTTTTCCTTCATGGATCAGGAAGAGTGTTAAATGCTGTATGGAAGCACGAGCCACTGATCCCACATTATAATCATCAACCATCCGCAGTTAACAAAGCCCACTGAGAACACAGCTAGAAATATAAAACGGTTGCTAGTTGGTTACGCTTCATGTGAAAGGGTAGAAGATGAATAAGTGCAAAAGTTACTTGCATTTTATACAATGCATGGTGTTGAAGACTGACGAAAGTCATGTGGCTATCATTTGATAATATAGTTAAAATGCAGCATCATAGTTTAAGCTGTGAACGTGCAGCATCACTTCTGAGAGCTGTGTCTCGCTGAAAGACGAGTAATGACTGAAATCAACTGCCACTGTGTTCAGCTGGAATTAAAACCCTCTGACTCCTGCACGAGGGGGGCGGGAAATGGTTTAAAATTTAGAAAACACTTTGAATTGACAGCACTGATAATTCTGTCCTATTTTCTTGATCTTACACTAATCAGCAAGCCCTAAAGGATAAACAAAGGGAAGGATTTGTCAGCACTGAGCTACATTCAGTAACAGAGAGTGTTATTGTACAGAACACACACGCTTATCATACTGATCAACATTTGAACGCATGAACGCAGCTCAGGTAGCTTCCTGCTATTGTGGTTGTTGCTGAGAAGTGGTGATTAGTCGATGGGGCCCTGGAAGATGAGCCGTGTCCAGCCGGGGGAGCTCAGGGCAGTGGAGCAGAAGGGGCAGACAGGTCTGAAGGCATGCGTCCCATGGGGCAGAGGAGTCTCAGCCCAATACTTGGCTGTCCTCTCTGAGCAGACGTGGCCACATGGCACAAAACCGTGAGTGGGGGCTCCGGCATCCACATACACCGCAGGCTCACAGCCCAGCCACAGCGGCACGTAGGGACCCACGCTCCTGCACAGGGGACATTCTCGCCGGGTGGTGGAGCCTTCACCCTCTCCTGGATCTTCCTCTCTCTCCGATCTCTGGCCCCAATCGTGGCGTCCGTGGACGTGGCCACAGGCGAGGTAGACCCAGGGTTGACGCTCTTCAAGGCTGAAGTTAAATAAAGTGTACCGATATTTTAAAGAAAATTTTTTAATGCATGCGTGTGTAACAAAATAGAAAAACCTGTGAAGAATTTTCTCCTAAAATTAGTAATTGGAAATAATCCGTTTTTAAATAAATAACAAGACCTTAATTTAACCATCAGTGTGGCCCTGACCTATGACTGCGTGGAAGGCTGGGGAACGCCAGTGTGCTGAGGCCGACGGGACACTGGGGCCGGGATGCGTTAAGCTCCTGACGAAGCGCCTCCAGGTGACGCAGAGTGGGAGAGCGCATGAGCCCCTCACCGGTGCGCCACAGCAGAGTAGCACCACAGAGATCGACGAGCGACCCGTCACGTAGTGCGCTGCTCTCCCCCTCCGCCTGAAGTGACGCACAAACAGATATTTGTGTACAATAAAAGGCAAACACAGACCCCGAAAGTTCACTGAAGAAATGTAGATATGGTAACCAAACCTGCGGCAACTCACCAGCGTCCCCCTGCTGGGTCCAGACCGTGTCTCCCGCAGCGCATAAACATCTCCACAGACGGAGATCTCCCTCCACAGGCCTTGCTTGGGATCCTCTGGGAAGCCCTGTGGGTGCATCACTAGCACCCCATTAGTGGTGAGGCCATCCATATGCCCATCAGGATTTTTCCATTTGGTTGCTTTCTCCTGTGGCAGCAAAGACATTAAAACATAATATTGATATGTTTCAGAAAGTATTTTTATTGTGTCAATCATACTGTTATTCCCAGCATGAAGAGTGCTGCTCTCGTCTTACTTTCAAATACAGGCAGTCCAAAAACACAGGGAAAAAAGACTTTGCAGTTAGATCTTCAGTGCATCACTTTCTACAACAGAAGTCCCACAGCACTGTGCAAAAGTCTTTGGCCACCGCACCATTTTGCAAGGAAAATGGGTACAGCAATTTATTGAGATGTGCAAATACACATGGAAACACATGGACAACGCACCCATCCCTTGCAGGCAGGTGCTTTTCTATGCTTGAATGATTCATAGGTCAGTGTTAAGTGGCGTAACATACAAAGCAACACTCTCAAAATGGTCAGGTACAAGGAATGGACTGAAAATGAGTGAAAGCTAGTCAAACACTGCAATTTTTATCAGATCGTTTCATGGAAAGTTAAGCTCTCTTAAATCATCAGGATGTGTACAGTAGACAAGAAACTGGGACTCAGTTAGATTTTTCAATAACTTAAAATCTAAAATATTCTGTTATTAGAAACCTGTTGCTGGAGTATGAGTCTACTCACCCCTAAGAAAATATTTTTGGAGGAGTCAAAGCCTGCAGCATAGATGCGTGCAGTGTAAGGCGGGTTGCGCTCGCACACTATTCTGCAGGCAAAACGGGAAATGGTGCTGGGAGCAATGGAAGGATCTTCGCCTTCCTTTCCTCCAGAGGTGTCTGTTACCACAAAGTCAATAGGACTCTCTGTGGAGCGTCCAATCTGCAGGGGACAGCACAGAAAAATACTATTTATTAACTGAAACAAATGTCTCATTAAAATGTTATTGGTAAGCAGAGCTATTTCTTTTAAAGCATCAGTGCTCATAATTTTATGGCTTTGAGCTATCTGGGCAAGATGGTTCATTTTTATGTTTAAAAAGATCTGTAAGAGCAATAGAAAAGCACAAGCGTGTGCATAAAAATAGACTTTCTTGGAGCTATGACGTAAATCTCTTTATTTTTAACACTTAATGGTCCCAGTTCTGAACCAAAATAATCTACCCTCCTGTAGAAATGACTTTGATGGGATTACATAACAGTTGGAAACTTGCACATGATCGCACTTCTTGGAGTACATTTTGCTGTGAATCCTCTCATCACTCAAAAGAAAATAAAAGTTGACTTTGTTTGCTTGCTGTGTTACCTGGAACATGTCTGTGTTGTTGTCATGGCAGTACTCCACCACCACGGTCTGGTTTCGGGACAGGGTGAAAGAGATGCTGTGCTGCCCCCTGCTGTGCACCGCCTGCAACAACAACAACAGCAACAACTTGTGGTACAGCAGTCATTTTCTGGAAGCTTCTTTCTTTTCATTTAACCACCCATTTTCTTAATTAAAACACACAGTTATAAGCAAATAAAGTATATCTACATTTTTGTTTTTAAAGGCGCCTTTAAATTCAAACAGTTTGTGCAAAGGGACTGGCATTTATACAACACTTTTCCAGTCTTACCACTCCAAGCATTTTAAACCAACAGTCCCCAACCCCCGGGCCACGGACCGGTACTGGCCGTGAGTCATTGGAACCGGGCCGTGAGAGTTGTGAAATTGATCGGTTTTAGGGTTTTTATCGTCAACTCGGTTTTCCTGGGTCTTTTCCCCATGTGTTATGAATAAATCTTCTTTTTTTGCTACCGGTACTGGTTTTATTTTGTTGCGGCACCTTAAAGGCCGGTCAGTGAAAATATTGTTGGACATAAACCGGTCGTGGCACAAAAAAGGTTGGGGACTGCATTTTAGACTACAAGCCACATTTACCCATATAATCATACAACCTAACTTATGTCTTTGGATTGTGGGTAAAAGTCAGAGAACTCTCGCAGACCCAGGAAGAACACGCAAACTCCACCTCACCATGATTCGGGAACCTTGTTGTGAAGCCAAAGTGCTAACCACGGTACCATCATCCAACATTAAGAGCAGCATTTAGCAATGACGTGCTGGTCTTCTACTAAGCGCCAGACAAACAGATCAGCCGGTGGATGTTGATCTAATATAGATACTGGATGACGTGTCTGCTGATATAAAAGCCTTTCTTTGTTGTGTTGGAAATTGCTGAATAAGATGCTTGGAAGAGTCTAGACATGGTGTCATCACACAGATTCTCTTACAGAGTCAGCTCTCAGCACAGCACATGTAACAACACAGCAGAACAGATGGTGGTGTGGTGTGGGTTTCATGGTAAGTTGTTAACCAGTTTGTGTAATACAATCCCACAAATCTGATCACTCTCATGTTCAGCTTCATTAAGTACACCACTGAAATCAAATATAATACGACAGCTCTGACACAAATTTGACACTGTCAAAAATTCCCAGGTTTTGAGATAGTTCTATGTTTTTTCAGATCACATTAGGTGGTGGTGATGAACATGACAGCATTACTTTTAGGTGGTCCTGAATGTTTGCCTCGCTCCATGGGGATATTATTTAGTGTGGCTCTGCGGCTTATAGCAGACTTCCAAAAAACAGCAAGGAATACTGCTTTCAGTGGCAGTCTAAGACTGCTGGGCCAGGAACTTTCTGGTGGACAGCTGAATGGTGTCAAGGAGAGCCAAAAAACCAACTCTGCCAGTGAGCCAGGTTGGCCCTGCCACATGGTTTTGGCCCCAGTATACTCGCCACATTGGTGCACTGTTGGTAACATTATCACACAGCCTCTTCCATTTATGGTCCCTGTTACAGTGCAGATACCTGCTGCAATATTCTCCTGAACAACAGGTGTCACCATTCAGACAAAACCTCATATAGGAGGAGAAGAAGTCAAAACAAGAACCAAGAACCAAAGAACAGCCAAGTTTTTCTCCACAAGGTCTCATCTTTTCGTGGCTCAAGAGTTGGGAGTTCGCCTTGTTCGAGCCCCGGCTTGGACAGTCTCGGTCGTTGTGTCTTTGGGCAAGACACTTTACCCGTTGCCTACTGGTGGTGGTCAGAGGGCCCGGTGGCGCCAGTGTCCGACAGCCTCGCCTCTGTCAGTGCGCCCCAGGGTGGCTGTGGCTACAATGTAGCTGCCATCACCAGTGTGTGAATGGATGGATGACTGGTTGTGTAAAGCGCTTTGGGGTCCTTAGGGACTAGTAAAGCACTATACAAATACAGGCCATTTACCATTTCAGATTGTTGCAACTTCTTCCTCTGTAAACTCTGTGAATCTCTGAGCTTCTGTGCTAATGTATGATAAAAATGGCGGTACAACCAACACAATCTTACACTTGTCTCTTCAATTAAGCTGCAGCAACTGCAGCTGCGAATCTGAAGTTTAATGTTAATAATTTGTCATACAGTGCTTTTTGTCAGGTACTGCACAGACGTTATAATGGGACCTTAACAGTGACTGAACTTTCAAAATAAAAGTAAGTGGCTTTTCAACTGGTATTCTGATCATAGGTGGTACTGTTATCTTAAATTAAATAAATAAATAAACAATACTGTTGGTTATTGTTCATATACTTGAAAGACCACCCAAGCAAAGTCTCTGTGTGGGAAAAAAATATCCATCCAAAATAATATAAATGTTGGCCGATTTATTGATACCTGAATTTTGTACTAGCTAAAAACAGTATCCAAGCAGTAATCAGTATCAGTCATCTCCAGATTAAAATTTTAATTCAGCTCAAGTTTTTTACATGCAGCATCTTTCAGTACATCAAACAGCCTTATGTAGGATGACACACACACACACAGACAGACCACATAAACCTGTCTTCATGATTAGTCATCCTTCCTCTGGCACACAACAGGGGTTACAGGAAGGAAACTCATGTTACACAATGATGAAAACTATAGCACACACACACACATGCGCATGGACACGTACCTTGCTGTCCTGTGGTGTATTGAGGATGTGCACAGCACTGGGCTTGACACCGTTGGCCTTGGCCCTTCGGTACAGAGCAAAGCGGCTCTTTCTGCGCCCACGGTCTCCGTTTGGAAGGGAGCCATTGTAGCTGGAGGAAGATAAACAAACACAAGAACATGACGAAAAATATCTACTGAAACCAACAAATGATGTTTAAGTAATCTAATTTGGGCTGGAATACAGCCGACATCTAGCTTTATTGAGAAAGCCTAATTGTGTTAAAAACACAGTTATCTTGTTTGCATACTTATCATAAGTCATCACTTAAATGACACTGAAGCTGCCAAGATGTCAGGAAAATAACGGCAATTAAAGTGCAAGCTCAATTAATTATGTGCATCTTTACAGCAATACCGCTGCTCGCTCGTTTGAAATGAATTAGAGCAGCACATTCAGGCCACTCGTGATTCATGTTAAACTGCTGAACCTCAATGAGAAAGACAACCTGCACTTGATCTGACTCACTCGGCTTGTCCTTAAGGCCCACGTTCACTAAAGAAGAGCTCGCTCTTCATCTAACCTCTTACAATATAAAGCATCTTCAGCAAGACAGATTTATTTTCATCACACCATTGCCCAATTACATTAACCATAAAGAGTTGAGTAAGTGGTCTGGAGAGGATACTGAATAATACTTTGAAGCTTTGTGTTCATTAATAGCAAGCAGATATGATAGGTTCTTTCAGAGGGTGGTAAATAACATAGTCCAGCCCATTACTGTTTTATAACTCAATATAAGGCTTTTAAATGAAAATCCTTCTGACACCTTAACTAAGATATTGAATTTGTCCTCAATGTTTTCTGTAGCTGGGTCAATGTAATTTCTTTCACAGCTTGAGTTCACAAAAAAGGCAGTATGTAAGGCTTGTGACTAATGAGCAGGACATGTTTCTTATTAAAAGCATTCAGAGGAAGTCCTGCAGGCAAGACTCACAATTTTGACAATAACCATCTTCACTGCTCCCCACAGTTGATGGGATGAAAAGCCATCTGGTCTGGTTTTCTTCTGACTTTTGGTCTTGATTTGAGTACAAAAGGAAGCACTGCCTACTTTTTGAGTGTCAGTAAAGTGTAGCTCTGACACTGCGATGAATTTACAAAAGGAATGAAGAAAGATGATTTAAGTGACTTTGCAAGTGGCATGTTCTAGACGGGTGGTCTGAACATTTCAGAAACTGTTGATCTGCTTGGATGTTCCCACACAGCCATCTCTAAGTTTAACTGAGAGTGGTCCGAAAAAGGGAAATATCTGATGAGGGGCAATTCTCTGGGATGAACAATGCCTTATTGATACCACTCACAGGAGTATGGCATAGATGCATTCAGATTGAGTCGGTAACAGTAATTCAAATAAGCACTCAATACAACCAAGGTATGCAGAAGAGCATCTCTGAATGCACAACATATTAAACTTGAAGCAGTTGGAAAACCACATTGGGTGCCACTCATGTGAGCTAAAGCTTTATTTAGACCTCTGCTAGAAATGTATGTCCTAACTTACGTAATAATTGGAAACTCATTTCACCCCTACACCACAACCTTTCACGCCATTTAAGTCTTTTGTATCCATCAACCCAATGTGTAGGCACATTTCTCAGAGGTACACATCAGGTCGGTGCGTAGGGTTATAACAAGGTTCCAGTTATGGCGTAAGTTACAACATAAATCTGACGTATAAGTATAATTAACACGTAAGAATGGAAAACTGAGTCTATAATGTCCACAAGCTCACTGAAAGTGGAAAACAGAAGACTGGAGTCTCAATTTTACAGCGACATTTAGATGATAGGGTCAGAATCTGCCATTAACATGTTGGTAATGGATCCATCCTGCCTTGTATCGATGGTTCAGGTTGGTGGTGGTATAATGATGTGAGGGATACGTTCTTGACCGATCAGTATCCCTGTTAAAATGCCACAATATACCAGAATATTGCAGCTGACCATGTCCATCCCTTTATAATACAGTGTACCTATTTTCTGATGGCTGCTTCCAGCAGGATAACATAAACTATGCTAGAAAGGTAAAATCATCTCAAACTGCTTCCTTGAAATCGGAATGCACCGATCCAATATTAAGATCAGATATTAGTCTGACAGCCCCCCCCTAAAAAAACAAAGCAAACAAACAAAAAAACTGGTCTGGTTACTGGTCTGGATATTGGTTATACTGAACTGATCTGTGGTCTGATACATTCATTTCAGTTCACTATGGTTCTGTGTTTACTTCCTCACTAGACAGCAGCAGCTAGCAGCAGAGCTAATGTAGCATGGAGCGAGCAAACACCAGAATGTCAGCAGTTTGGAGGCATTGCAACAGCTTCGGTCTCTAAATTTGCAAAGTTGTTGTTGTTTTTTTGCTGCAAACTGGGCTCAAGGTGACATGACTGACAACACCTGACAATGAAGATGCTTTCTGTCTCTTCCTTCACTAGTTTACTTTCACTCTCATTATATTCTGTCACCGACCATATCTAAGAAGCTAGAAGGACACTGGTTTAGTGTTACACCTGTTGGTAATCTTCTATTATACTTATGGTAACGTGACCTCTCCTGACAGCTCACAGCTGTGTGAGAGGATGAAAAGGGAAAACTGTTAATAACAGCAGTTTCCAGCAACCTAATGTCGCTCACTTGAATCACTCTAATATCACTTTGACATGAGCTCTCTGAAAATAAATTAGATGAACAACTTTAGCATATTTTTCATAGTTTTTCACTGCATTTACCCCAGGCCTGTTTTTATTTATTCTTTTACTATTTAATACTAACACTTCAATAAATTTGTATTCATGAAAAAATGTAAACTGTCTTTGATGGTTCAATCTGTGAGCTTGTCTAAGAGCAAGTTGATATTGTGCATTTCAATTCCATGAATCTCAGAACATAGATTTTCTGTGGTTGACAATCCTCAGGATAGAGCGGGAAAGGAAGGTGGGATGATGATGCTGAACAGATCAAGTATGTCAACTGGAAATACTACAAACAGGGCACATTCAACTTTGATTTTTTTTTATGTGAAATCCAATTAAAGAGCATGACTCAATGCAAACCTGTACCCTTCCTGGCCTGCTCTGACAGTTCAAACTAAACTGTGACTAACAAGGAAAAGACTGGTGCAGGAATCACGGACACACAAGCACAGAGCTTTCAGGGCTTTGGCCAAAAGTCAGAGCACATAAAATAGGGCAAAGGATAAGAGGCTGCAGGAGATAGAGAAAAGGGTAGCAGGTTGGTCGAAATGGAGGCAGAAAAACAGTCAGAAGCTATCACAAGTTTTAGAGAAATAAGTGAATAAAATGAAGGACGGGAGATGGAGAACAGGGACTGAAAGATCACGCAAAGCAGAGGATTGAGGGGGAAAGGCCAGAAGGACAGCAGCTCTTTAAGATGCGTTTGTGGGCAGTTCAGCCTGCATCACAAATGTGCACACATCATAAGGCACTATATGAAATATTCACTCCTTCTGCCCCTCAACACGAGGTTTATTTTCGTTGAGGGCAAGTCACCAAGGAGGCCTGCCTCTGTGAAAGTCAGCACTCAGCAAAACACTGAATGGTCGGCTAGAGAAAGGGCTGGGTGATAGACAGAGGAATGAGACAGAGACCATATTGAGATAAGTTATGGAGGAGAATAGAAAGGTGTGAGAAGACAAGAGGGTGTTCGCATAGCGAATAGAGGGGGTTGCTGGACGGGGCATGGTGGTGGTACATGGTGTCCAGAATAACTAAGGTGACGAGAGATAGCAGGCAAGCAGCCTCTGCAAAGATCACATGGCCAGCAGTGAAGTAGACATTGACCACAAGGGGCATGGGATCATCAAAGCTGACAGATGCAAAGCCAAACCACAGTTGCATAAAACATGGCCAGAAAATTATGAAATCTGACAGGAAGCAGTAAAAGATACAACCTGTTCTTACACTGCCTGCCTCCAGGCAAAATTACCTGCTGTATGTTTGAGAGCAATAAATTCCACAAATCCAAATGTAATATACCTGTGATCACCCATATAATAAAACAATTATTCACAATATTACTGTACCGTGTACTACTACAACCAGGCTGTGGCACTGGAAGATAGTTAATCAGCTTTATCTCTTTATCCTTGTCTGTCAGCTCTTTTTCAAAACCACAGACAGGTTACCAGTCTGGCAGGGCACAATCAAAACCGACTCTCAATCACCACAGCTTTGAAAGTGAGGTTGTACAAAATGCATTTTTTTAGCCATCGAGGAGGCGCATTTCGGCACACACTGCAGAGCACACTGGTGTTCAAGTTCCACAGCCAAAAAAAGGAAAAAAATTCTCAAAATAGGCATTCAGTTCTCACATCCTTACTCTGATGTGAGCGTGTAAAGGGCTGCTGTGTTCAAACGGACGTTAATCAGTATTCTAATGCAGGCAGGCTACAGCCTCCTCACTCTGTGTTCAGCTGGAGGGGAAGAGATAGGCCATTAGGTCAGTTATCTTTGGCATACACAGGAAGCTCTGCAGGGCAAAAGGGAGGCCTGTGTAAGGCTGTGTATATGATTGTGTATGTGTATATGTGTGTTGTAATTTCCTGGTCCTTGCAAACTGTGCATAGAGTGGAGCTGCAGGGCTGGAAGTGCTGTGGAAGCTGGTGGCTGTCATCAGCACATCCTGCCCACTCCTGTACTTGTGTGCGCTGGTGATGTAGAAGGGCTTTTCTCCTCCTCCGCCTCCTCCTCCTCCTTCCTCCCTCACTCCCTCCCTCCCGCCCTGGCATGGACGGTCATCTGGCTGAGACGTTTTATTAATTAGTAATACCAAACGAGAGCGCGACTATGACTATGAATATAAGCAAAACGCATTTTTCAGACGACGCTGTTCTCCTCCCTGCTACTTTTAGCGAGCACCGATCCAGCAAAGTATGACATCATTGGGATTTTCAGGTCTGAGCAATCCAGCGCTGCCACTACAACCATTGATGAAAAACCGGCTACATCCGTAGTAGCCTTATGTACTATGGCCAAGGCAGATGTTGCACCTTTACACTTAAACATGATGGAGAAACTATGCTGGGCTGTAGTTTGAGATAAAATGCCTTAAAAACTTACTTTTTAACATTACTACACAGCTACACCGGTGAGGGAAAACGACGACAATGTAACATAAATGAGAAATAAGCTAGAATCCCTTACTACGATTGATTTAATAACCCTAAAACAACCGTAAGCGCGATATATTTTGTAAGAGCAGTGGATTAAAGCTGAACTCGAACGTCATTTGCTGGGTTATTTGTGCTGGTGAAACCGCTACATATTTAAAGGTTAATTTGCCACTGGAGCTGTTCACCAAACGATATAATTTCACTCTAGCTTAAGGTTTTAAAAGACTTACCCCAAAATGACCAATTCGCCGTATTTTACCGGGTCTTTAACGGGCACATCATCATCTCCGTCTTTTTTCGGTGAATTCATCAGACTGGACTGGTCCAGATGGGGCAAAAAACGCGTCCAATTGCAATAGTGGTGAGATAAAACAATGCTAACACACTCGAAACTGTAGGGAAGTGGTTTTGGTTGTAGTCTACCAAAGTTTGGGCACTGTTGGGCAAAGTTTTTCCAGACTTCTAGGTGTTTTTTTCATTGTTTTAATCCGGTGAAGGAGCATCTTTTCGTGGCTTTAATGCCAGTGTGTAGCTAGTTTGTATCGCGACAAATCTGTTCAGTAGCAGGGGATACAACAACGGCTAACGGTAGGGAGTGGGCTGTACCATAAATTGGGGGAAGAGGATGCCATTCACAGCATATGTCGAAAAATTTGATAAAATTTACGCCCGTTGGGAAAAACGTGCAACTTCTCGATTGAAAATGCTGATAAAAACTTCACGTGCGATTATTAGATAAATAAATGCAGTTCAGCATTTAGAACGTAAAAGCGCCATGAACGTATCCACCCGCGGAATACGAATGGATGCATCCGTGATGTGAAGCTGGCTCCCCCCGATAGAATAAAATGAGCCATTTCGAAATCCACAGGAAGTACCCGCATCCCCCTGCCATACCGAGGGATTCTACTATATTTAAAGTAAAATACTACCTCACTGGATTTTTTTATTTATTTATTGGTATGGTCATAAGTGATGCTGATCTAACGGGCCATTATTCAGTCTGACGTAAGGAGGAGCTCCGGGGGGTGTGGTGGTGGAGCTAAGATGTGGGTCACCACTGCGCCCCAGACTACACCTTCCCCCCCGCTCCCTGGATTTCATGTGGGAGTCGGGAGACGGATATAGGACGGCTGGAACCCACGCGTGCATCCCTCTCTCGCTCTTTTCTCTCACACTGTATTAAGGCATCATGTTGTGACCGCATGAGGGCAGTGCACTTGCTAAGTACAACTTTCCAGCCAGTAAAGTCTGAATGGTTTTTTTTGTGACTAATTTTCCAGTTTAAATATCACTTATATTTACACGCACTGTCCAGTAATATAAACGAATGAACAGCTAAGCTTAGATATGACACCTCCACCCCACACCAACACATGAAAGCAAAACCTTTGCTGCAGGGGTTTTGAACAGAAGCCAGAGACACACTGATCAGCATCGTTGTCTTCAAGTGGAGCAGTCCCCTTTTTCATGTTTGGCTTACTGGTGTAACATGTAGTAGCTTGCAGATAGAGTTGCAAGGCGAAACGGTATAGCACTCTGCATGACTCTGCAGTGTGTGGCAGTGTCGGGCCTCTTTTTACTGGATATATGGGACAGCAGTAAAACATTTGCATGTGCAAATTTACAGATGTTAACCTAATTGCTATGATAATAGTTTCAAAAGGTAATGACTGTGCCCTCAGTAACACATTTGCAGTGCTACAGAGCAGTGATGACACTGTATGTGGGTAATGACTCATGAATCAGCTTCAGAATTAACCAAAGCAAACAGCCACACCCTTATTTCATAATTGACAGCCCACAGCCGTCACAGAGTAACTGATCAACCAGCGTGAGCACTAAGTAATCTTTTGTATACTGGATATCAGAAGGTTAACCTCCAACATACTTTTCTTCTGAGATACAAAGTAGAAACTGGATGGACCAGATGTGCATGCTTCTCTGTGTGTTTGTGTTTGTGCATGTTTCAGTGTGAGTTTCTTCCTTTTCCACTGTGAGATTAAGGTCACACCCTCCTCAGTCTCTCCTGCCATCTCTCCCATATTCCCTGCTTTTTTCCTTCTGCTTCTTTATTTTTGTCTGCCTGTCCTTGTTCGGCTTCAGTTTCAGTATTAAACTAGAAAATATTTTTGTACTAATCCTCACTGTTCCTTTTAATTTACATAGTTTGTGGCCATAATAATCCATCAGCAGGACAAGGATCCAGTTTTCGCTGTCGGGATTATTTACCTGTCATGTCTAACCAGGAATTTAAGGAATGTTCTGAATGAATACAACCCCACTCCATGTCTGGTAATTGGCTGACTATGTTTAATGATCATGTAGTAATCCCCATCTGAGTGTTTTATCATTTTTACTGACGTCGCTGAACGATTGCAGCAACAGAACAGTAGGAGGGATTCATCTGCGTTTTAAAGGATACCGCAGAATAGATGTTTGTTGTCACGTAGAGAGCTGAAAAGGCACTCTATTAGTAAAGTGTCTCATTCACAGCATCATCCTGCTGCCACAAATAGAAGAGGAAACAGCAGAGGCCATGTTTCCATGACCTCATAGCCCCGTCATATTCGCCGAAGACAAACTGAACTCGTTTGACAGATTGGACGTGGCACTTTGATTGGCAGCCACTTTGCATTGTCAGTCAAACACATTGCCATGGGCTTATCACAGTATGCAGTCTTTTTTATATTCACAGCATAGAAAATGTACATTAGAAGTCAATATTACAAAATCGTTTGTGCCACCTACATTGGGGCTATTTATCTGTATCACGTGCGTAACAGGGTTAGTGGGCAAGTTATCCAGACACCATATTTGGTAAGCAAATTTCAGGTCAGCCTAATTGTGAACATGTGAAGTGCATTACTTCTGCTATCATTCTTCAGCTTTTGGCAGGCTGTATTTTCAAGTAAAGCAAAAAATAGAAATGGGGTGGTAGCTGAATATTTTAGAAGTGGATGTTTGAATAGAAGACACACCAGCATGAACCATTTTGGAATAGCTCTACGTTACTGTGTTCCAAATATCAGTGACTCTCCTGTTATACGCATATACCTCTAAAGTCAACAGAGCTCAATCCAATAGAACACCTGATACTGACACCGCTGTCGGTGTTTCGAATTAGGAGCCTAACTCTCATAGCTCAGAATGTGACTTATGTTTCCATGATTTATAGCCAGAGTCGTGTTCTGATTTCAACAATCTGCATTCAGTTTGTGCTGATCTAAAAAGTAAACATGTAAGTAGAAGAATGGTAAGTAAGAGATGGGATTCAAGACAATCAATTTGGACCACTTAGATGTGTTCCAGCCATCTGCTGCCAAGTCTTTGTCAATGTTGCCATAGTGATGTGAGCAAACAAAGAAAAGGTATTTCTGTCATTAAGCGACCCTGTCTTCGCTGTGTGTCGTAAGAACTTGTGAATTGGTGAAGCAGAGCCCTAAGCATTTGGGAATAATGCACACTAAACACAATGATCCTAATGTTTAATACAATTACAGTACATGATTTAGTTCGTAAGCTGTTAAATGCATTCATGTGTGCTGTGTGTCCTTTGGAACAGTCACCTACCTGTGATGCACAAGTGCACACATACCTGCTGATACCCAGCGTGTATCTGTGTGTGTGAGAGAGAGAGACTGCACTCCCTTTACTTGATGAGGAGGCCATCTTCAGCACAGGGCTGACACGATATTGCAGATGGCTCAGCATATTCTTATTCTGTATGACAGGACAAATACACACCAGGCAGGGCTGGTGATTTTGTCCCCCCCCCCCCCCCGGAGCTGGACTAATTGCACACACAAGCAGGTTTGTTGCAAAATACTAAAAACTAACGTAATTATAAAGTGTGATATACTGTGTATGAAATAGCTTTAACAAGCTGTTATATAGTCGTACAGTTTGTTTACAAATGCTTTTTTTTTAGGCCAGCTGGTTCAAAGCAAGACAAAGAAAGATTATATAGGATCATGTGATTAACAAGAGATAAGGAAGTCACTGAAGATCTCACAGAAACAAATCATAGATGGACCAAATAAACCTGCTGTGCATGTGACAGGATTAACCTTTGAAATCAGTGGGTTAGGCAATCTGCACTTCAGCATTTTAGTCTGAGAACTGTATTAAATCCCAACGTGCAAAAGGGATTAAATAAATGCAACATTTTCGAGAAAAACCATAAGGTTAACCTAAGTGAACAGAGCAGTTGTACACATGCAAATTGCACAGTCAGCCACAACAATCAAACCACTGCCTAATATTGCGTGAGACCCCGTGTCCCTCACCGATCTGTTGTTTCTGGTTCAATTTGTGTCTAAACCGTCGACAGTAAAATATTTGCATAGCTCTTTTTAACTCTGAATTGTACTTCAGTTGCAACAAAACTATTTTGGGAAACCAACTGTATCAGGTGCTAATCCGACACCTGATGTGTCCTTCCAACTTCACCGCGATTGTCTTGTTGCACTTCCTCTCATTTGAGTATGTGGTCCAGATGTTTCATTTGACTAAAAAAGCAGAGATAACATCTGGTCACGTGTTGTGCCAACAGACACAGCGGGCATGTGAACAGGAATTTTGACACAAATGGAAGCTCACCTGCCAGTGTCGGACCTAAACCTTTGGAGTTACCTTGTGTTGCCTGTCTGTAGGACATTTGCAACAGTTCTTTGCAGGTTGTACGTCATGGCCTAGTGTGCACATTGCATGCATGGTTGATCTAGAAGGTTTAGATGCAAGAAGGTATATCTAAACCTGTGTAAAGCGCTTTCAGTGCTCAGTTAGAGTAAAAAAAAGTGCTATATAAGAATCAGTCCATTTACCATTTGCAGTGATATTGCTATGTGGGGTGCGCTTTGGCCACCACCTTGTTTAGATGCATGGTCATACCCATCTGACAGTGATCAATGGCGCTCACTTACCTGTAAGCGGTTTTAATGTCGTGGCTGATCAGTGTGCACACTCAGTGTGTCAAGGATCTATGACAATGCACTTGTGCTCCAGCTTAAACACTGACAGGTGAGCTGAGACAGCAGCCTTTCGCACAGCGTCTCACCAACACCTCTCAGCAACCTGCCATACATGTACATTAGGGCTGCCACGATTTGTCGACTAGTCACGATTACGTCGACTATCAAAATCGTCGACGACTGATTTAATAGTCGAGGCGTCGTTTGAAACTTTGTACGATCACAAAAGACGCAGGAATAAGTGGCAGGATTTAAGAGTGTAATAACGGACTGAAACAGAAGATGGCAGCATTGCATGTACAAGGATGTCAGCTACCGTTAAACCCCGAAGAAGAAGAAGAAGAAGAAGAAGCAGCTGTGTCCCAGAATTCATAGCGCGGCCCAGCGCAGTTTCCAACAATGGCGGCAGCTAGTTAGTTTTAATGTTACTCTTATTATTCTTTCTGGGTCACAAAATAAACGTTTAACATATTTTCAGGCGAGAATGTAGCTGTATAAACCTCAAATATCTGCTCAGTTTATCAGGACACCACATATTTTCAAAAGCGCTCCGACGTTTTCGGAGACATCTGTTACCCACTAGCTCGTTAGCGAGCCGGGGG